AAAATAAACAGCAATTATACACATGCTTGTCTTGTGAAAACACACAGGAATCAAATAGACTATGTCTGTGAAAGAGACAATGGAGAAATAATCTCACTATCAGTAGTCAGAAGAAGTCCAGGGCCCAGGTGTGGAACAGACGATCTGTTATTCATATGCAAGTTCAAACTGAAGCGGAAAGAAACTACAACATGTTCACAAGAGCTAAAATATGTCCTGAGTCTCTCACACCTGAATTAAAAGAAAACATCTCAAGAATGGATTTGATGCATTAAACACTGGTGACCAAAAATCGATTTACTTACATGATGACATCAAGGGCATCATACGGGAAGACTTCAAAAGGCCATGCAAAAGACAGGAAAGTAAAAAACTGAAATGAAATGGATATCAGAAAAGACTGACATTTTCTCTTGAACAGAGAGAAGCTAATAGGAAAGAAAGAATGAATGACATGAGACAGTTGAATAGACGATTTCAAAGGGAACTTTAAGAATACAAAGCAATGGTGAGTTCTGGTGGCCTAGTGGCGGGAAACTGCACTGCAATCCCAGAGGTACACGGTTCAAATCCACCAGATGCTCTGCTGAAGAAGGAGGAACAATCGCCTCCTGTACCAGTCAGATCCAATTTGATGGTACACACATAAAATAAATAAATTAAAATTTTTAAAAAAAGAATACAAAGCAAATGTGCAAAGACCTGGAGTTAGAAAAGCGAAAGGGCCAGACATTCTCGGCTTTTCTCAGAAAGAGCTGAAGAAAGAAAAAAAAAATCCAAGCTTTGAATTGCAGTATTGAAGGATTCTATGGGCAAGATGTTGATTGATGTTGGAAGCATCACGTGAACATGGAAGGAATGCGTAGAATCACAGTAACAAAAATTTTTGGTGGCACAGAACAGTTTCAGGAAGTGGCACATGGTCAAGAACCAGTGCCTCGAAGGAAGAAGTCCAAGCTGCACTGAAGACATTGGCAAAAAGTAAGGCCCCGGGAATTGGTGAAATATGAGTTGAGGTGTTTTCAGTAAACAGGTACAGTTCTAGACGAGCTCACTAGTCTATGATAAGAAATTTAGAAGACAGCTGCCTGGCCAACTGACAAGAAGAGATCTGTATCTGTTCCCACTTAAATAATGATCCAATAGATGTGAAAATTATTGAACAGCATCATTAATATCACATGCAAGTAAAATCCTACTGAAGATTATTTAAAAATTACTGGAAAACAACACATCAACAGTGAACTTCCAGAAATTCAAACTGGATTTAGTAGATGCCATTACTAATGTCAGGTGGATCTTGGCTAAAAGCAGAGAATACCAGAAAGAAAAAAATAAGTTTGCTTGTGTTTTATTAACTGTGTGGTAAATTGTGACAACAGATTATGGAAGAGAGCCCTTTGTGTTCATGTATAGCCTGTGCAGAGATCGAGAAGCAGCTGTTCAAACAGAACTTTCAAACACTTAGTTTGTGAAATAAAACTGGGAATTTGCAAGTCCTTCTTTAAAATGTCAAAGGTTGTTAAAAAGTTGTGTTTTAAAATTTTCTCCTGGGGGGGAGGGGTTTGTGCAGGGAGAAGGGTGCAACAATGAGTGAATGGAATCCCAAAATCTCTGTAGATGTTCATTGAAATGAAAAATAAACAACCTAAATTTAAAAAAAAAAGGGAAAAAAAAAGATTAAAAAAAAATTTTTTTTCTCCTAATTAAAGTATCAGATTTCATCCGAGTTCCCGCCTCTGTCAGGAGATTTGATTGGATGGTCTGTGCATCTTTTCAAATTGAAAAGAGAATAATAGTTTTTTGATGCGTACTTATTTATGAAATAAGACTTTAGATAAACATTTTCCATTGGAGAGAGAAAGAATAGGAATTGCTCTTGATGCTGAAATAGCTCTCAGGACTGAGCGAGCCGCAGACCACAGCCCCAGCCTGTAGAGTGATTAAGAAGGATGGAAAGACCGCCTGAGGTCTGTTTCCCTGGAGACGGGCCTGTCCAGGTATGTGGCCAGCTGCTGTCCATAGCTGCCTTGTGAGAGCGAAGACGGGAAGCTGGGGAAAAGGAGCTAATTCAGGCCGCACCTGGGAGCCAGTGGTGTTTTTGGCACACCGTTGTTTGAGTTAACACATGGAATTGTTGTCCTGAACTTTCTATAAACACACCAGCTAAGAAGTGGTATGTTTCCTGTCTTGAACATTTGTGGGGAGTCCAGAAACACGTGGTATGTGGACCCTGACCCTCAGGGGCGTTGTTGTGGTTTTCCTGAGTCAGATTTGAGCTCACGTCATCCCCAAAATGAACCTGTAGGAGAAGATCCCTGAGTCTTACTGGGTGTGGATTTGGCCTGGAGTTCCCCCCCACCCCCAAACCACTCCTCCAATGATTATTCACCTCCTGAATTTTCCTTCCAGGTGGCTGGTGGTGTGGTCTGCAGGTAGACCTATGTGAAACGGAGCATCTTGTCAGGCCCTCCTTTGTGGAAAGAGAGTGTTTAATGAGGGACCTCAAATTTCCCCAGAACTCAGTGCTGGTAGAAGACAAGACTAGGGTATCAAGGTGTGGACAGCTGACAGTGGAGAGACAGTGGAGAGAGGGGTCAGCTGAATTCTCTCTAGCCTAATTTGGGTGAGGCTGGGGATTTGAGACAGTTCTTCAGTCTGTCTGCTCAGATCAGCACCCCCCCGGGGGAGGGTGATGTGTGCTTGCTCAGTGGGGGTGTCCTGGGATGTGTGGCAATTTGTAGGATGTCTGCTTGTCCTTTCGTGCAGTATAAGAGGAATAATTGCTCACCATCTTGCAATCTCTAGACAAGGCATTGTTTTTATGTGCCGTTGAATTGCCTGCGACTCATAGAAACCCTGTGTACAACAGGGCTAAACCTTGTTCTATCCAATGCCAATCTTATTGTCTCTGACAAACGTACCCCCATTACCCAAGTCACTGAATCAGTCCAGCTCCTCCAGGGTCTTCCTCAGCGCTGTCTTCTTGCTGTGTATCCACTCCCTTTGTTTCATTCAAAGTTCCCTTCGAATGTGCCTCGTAGTGACTCTCCTTGAAGAAGTTCTACCAAAACTAGGGCTGACAGGCCGTTCAAGGTGATGTAATGCACGGGTTGTATTTTCTGTGTTCAACTTTTCTCAGAACTTCGTCTTTTAAACAGTATGCAGTTTGCTTAGTACCTTGACGATCATTACTAACAGGAAACAGCACATGAAATTAGAAGAGGAAATTGGAATGAAAAATTGTATGGAAAAAATGTATTACCAGAGACACACACACACACACACACACACACACACACACACACAAGTATTACTGCATATTCCAAACTCGGTAGTCTTGCTTCTGGAAAATTATCCTAAAGAAATAAGATACCGACAAAGGTACCCTTGTGAGAATGTCAATTGTAGCCCTGTTTGTAGTCACAAAGATTTGGAGTCAAGATAATGTCTAATGATTAAATAATGTAAAGTACATTATAGTAGTAAGGCTGGAAAAGGTCTAAGGCATTAAAAGCAAACCAGCCGGATATGTGAAAACTAAACCTATCCCATTGCCCAGAAGCCCACCTGACCCCTGGTGACGCTGTGTGATAGAGAGCAGGTGCTCACCAGGCATCTTGGCTGTGATCTTTATGGACGCCGACTTTGTGCTTGTGTGTATAAATACAGAAACTAAAAGCCCTGATTCATTGCCGCTGACTCGAAGCTGTCCCTCCACTGGTTTCTGAGGCTGTGAGTTGCACAGGAAACCGCTCCTTTCTCTCTGGGCCACGTTGGTGGACGCAAAGCGCCAGAGAAGCATGGCCATCGAGTCAGCGTTGTAACTCCTCCAGAGTCCCTGTTGTTGTTGTTGTTGTTGTTGTTGTTATTATGTGCCGTCCAGTCGTTTGCAGTTGAGCTGGGACTGACTCAGAGCTGACCCTCCAGCGGGTTTTCAGAGGCAGTAAATTGCACTGGACATTGTGCATCTTTCTCCTGAAGAGCAATGGGTGGATTCAAACCATGTACCTTTGCCTTGGCATTGCGATTTCTTACCCCACGGCCACAAGAGCTCTTCTTACTCCTAGGCCACCAGAACTTCCTTAAACATATACACACATGTGCGCGTGCACACACACACACACACACACACACACACACACATTTTACCTGTAGATATTAGACTCTTAACTGTGTCTGCCTCTGGGATTAAAGGTGGAGAATGGGAGAGACACACTTTTTTGTACCACTTATTTCTGTAACATCCTAACTTCTGTTGCGAAGCCAGGAGGTTCCCATTAAAGTGTATGTGAATTGTTTTACTCCATGCTGAAGTTTGCTGATAATGTAATGTTGTAAGGCAGTCAAGTTCTTCAACAATCTCATGGACCAGTATTCAAAACGTATCAGTATCTCGTTAGACCCTTCATTGTAAAAAGCTTTGCGTTCTACTACACAATCTATAATGACATAGATATTTTGTTTTAGGGTAAAGTAACACCTGTTTTAAATAAGTTCATTACTTCCACGTATTAATACCTGTCGGGTTGTCATACTCATCTGGAACGAGTTGCCATAAAGAGAGGAAATAAATGCACAGAATTATGGGGGGGGGGAAGAGCACCTGTTTTTCTGAAGCTGTTGGGGAGGGAACAGCTTGCTGCTGGCATGTGGCTTGACGTCCACTTCTCATATGGGCATTAGAAGGCAATGCTGCCCAACAACTTTACAATACGAAGTTGTCCCAGTTTGTAGCACTCCTTTTCATCCACCACAGACTGTGTGGGTCACCTGTGCCAGCCCAGGTGTGCCATGGTGAGCCAGAACCAGGAGCAAGCAGCAGCCCATCTCAGGTGCCCACACCCCACCCACTGACACCACGCAGCCACTTCTGATCCTTGATCAGGGCACTGGTGACACTGGTAGAAGGGATGGAGCTGGCTCTGACGTTTGTTTCTTCACCAGCTGGGAAGGTACCGTATCGTGTGGGAAAACTTGCTATGATTCTTTCTCCGCAGACCTGTCCTGTGGGGACCCGCCTTCATTCCCACACACCATCCTGCAGGGACGCACCGGCTTGGAGATGGGGGATGAGCTGCTGTACGTGTGCGCCCCCGGCCACATCACTGGCCAGCGGGAGACCGCCTTCACTCTGCTGTGCAACAGCTGTGGGGAGTGGTACGGCCTGGTGCAGACCTGCGGAAAAGGTAAGACCACCTGGGCACCGGCCATCCCATGCCTGCCGGTGGAGCGAATGAGAGAAGGTGGGCCCTTCTCTACCACAGTGCCTTCGAAAAGAAACTTCCATGCCTTTCTCGTGCGTTCTAGATGGGATAACATCAGACCTGCGGAAAAGGTAAGATCACCTGGGGTCTGGCCAGCTCCCAGCACCCACAGCTGCAGGCAGAACATATGCAGGGTGGCTGCATTTGGTGGACCCTTCTCTACCACAGGGCCTTTGAAAAGAAACTTCCATGCCTTTCTGGTGAGTTCTAGATGGGATAACATCTCTGTCTAGATATTCCTGCAACCTAGTCTCTTCACATCTGAGCCTTTCCTCTTTCATCCAGTGAGGTAAAGAGTTAATAAAACCATCTCTCCTTGTCTGAGCTCACGTGTGACCCTGGGTTAAATTTGTCGCTCGGTTTCCCTGGAAACCTTGATGAAGATAGAATATTCAGCTGCGTACCAGGTAACTGTGCCGCAGATGACCTGTTGTTGGTCAGCTGGGCTTGGAGGATGAGAAATGAGTTCAAAATACCTGATTGCAAGCAAATTTGGACTTGCCGAAGTGTGGTGGTTCTTGTTTTTGGCCAAAACTCTGGAAATTACAAGTGTGGGTTGCGACCAAAAAGAATGACCAACAAGAATGTGGAGCAGCAGGCTTGTAAAGCAGGGTGGCTGGACCCCTGTATCTGTGGGTCCTGAGAATCACCTTGGGCTAGGAGGGTAGGGAGAGAAGCACAGAGGAGCGCCCACACTGTCGCCTGGACCTCGAGGAGGACAGTGCCCCTCTGGAGAACCTCACCCGTTGTTGTTTGACCTACAGTCTTGCTGCGTTTCCTGGCCTGTGGTCCTGTGGTAGTCATGTGACTCTGAATAGTTCATCTAAACGACAAACTTTTGGTGGATTGTAAATGTGTCACCTGGTCAGATTTCCCTCGTGTCCCTCTCCTGTTGTCATCATGTTCCCAGGGGTCTGACTGGTAAAAACGTTGTGTGAAACAGTGGGCCTCCCCGTCCCCGCCCACCCCCGTCCTCTCAGCCGTTGCCCACTTCGAGCCCCACCCCTGGGCCACCCCCCCCTCATCAAAAGTCTTCTTCTTCAAATCTACCAGATGCTCTGCTGGAGAAGGAGGGGCAATCTCCTCCTGTACCAGTCAGATCTGATTTGATGGTACACGTAAAAATAATACAATAAAAATAAAAAATAAAAAGTCTCCCTCTTTATTTCTGCTTTAATCACGTGTCTTTGTCATCGACTGCTGCTGTAAAAGGGCGCAACACGTGGATTGGTGTGTATTCTTTCAACGTTTAGGAGGCCTACAAATTCAAGTTCAAATTCAGGGTGCTGGCTCTAGGGAGAGGCTTTCTCTCTGTGTGTCTTCTGGGTCTAAGAGTTTCCAAAGCAGAAACCTGGGTCCCTCAGATGTTCTCTACTCTGGCTCTTTTTTGTTGGAGGTACTGGGGCCCTCCTACTCTGTTCGCCCCCCCAACCTTTATCTCTTGTAAGACAAAGGGCGATGCAGGCCACCTCCCAGCGAACAACTCGTAAGTCTGAACAGGCCGTGACCTGATTAAGGGCGCTCACCCCGACCCAGTCTCCTTACAGCTTTTGATAATCACATCCTGGAGTGTAACTCCCACTTTACGTAACTGCCTCTTACCTTGTCTCTTTAACATCGTAGAGGATAGGATTTAGATCACATAAGTACATAATACTGGGTTCAGAGCACAGACAACTAGATGTGTATTTTCAGGGGACACAATTCAGTCAGTGTCAACAAGCAAGGCTTTCTTCTGGAGCCCGACCCTGTCAATAGCATGTCCGAAATATGTGAGGCAGAGTTCACTTCTAGGAAACCTTCTGCCAGTGCTGCTTCAGAGACAGAGTTGTATCTTCTTCTGGCAGTCCATGTATGGTCAGTGACTGTTCCTTTCTCACATCATAATTTAAAGTCAGCAGTTCTGCTTTGGTTTTTCATATTCACCATCCAACTTGCACACGGCTATGCAGCAGCTGAAAATAGAATGTGTTAGGTCAGGCACAACTTAGTATTGAAATGAGGTCTTCGGAAGCATTTTTCCCCCCAGTGCAGTATGTTGTTTTGTTCTTGACTGCTACTCCCATGGGTACTGATTGTGGATCCAAGTAAAAAGAATTTCCTGACAACCTCAGTCTATTCTCTGTTTATCATAATGCTGCTAATTAGTCCAATCCAAAATTTTCTTTATAATCTATACTGATGGCTGTGTGCTCTTTGATTTTCAGCGATAAGTGTGTTAAGTCCTCTTCACTGTCGACAAAGACATTTGTACCATCTGCATATTACAAGTTGTTTACGATTTTCCTCTCAAACCCGATGCCATATTTTTCTTCATATAATACAGCTTCTCAGATTATTTGCTCAACATACAGTTTGAGTAGGTATATGAAAGGTATATGAATAGGTAGATGAAAGAATACAACTCTGACATACACCTTTCCTAACTTTAAAGCATACAGTACCCCCTTGTTCTGATCTAATGCCAGCTTTTTGGTCAATATACAAGTTCTTTGTAAAATAATTAAGTATTCTAGAATTACTGTTCTTTGCAATGTTATCCATAAGTTGCTACAACCCACACAGTTTAATGTCTTTGCATAGTCAGTATCACACAGGTAAACTCCTTTCTTTTATTATATGCTTTTAGCCAAGATCCAGCTGATGTCAACAATGATAACCTTTGTTCCTCATTGTCATCTGAGCCCAGTTTAAATTCGATAGTTCCCTCCGTGTATTGCTGAAGCCATTTTTAAATTCCCTTCAACGCAATTTAACTGGCACGTGGTATCTATGATACTGTTTGATTATGTCCTTATTCTCTTGTGTCATTTTTTTATTTTTTTCTATTTTATATTATTTTTAATTTGTTTGCTTACAAAGTTTATGTACATTATGTTTCACACTTTATGTGTCATTTTTTTAAAATTTTATTTATTTAGAAGAAGGGCATGGTTGCCTCAAGATCCTGAGACTCAAGAGTCAAGGATCAAGAGCGCTTTTCCCCCTCTTCTGTATTCTTCTTAGTATCCCAGAGCCTATCAAAAAAATGTTTCCTCAAGTTCAAAGGCAGGATGCTGTTTCTGTGGAGGAAAAGCAGAAAATTGCATTCTGGATGTATCTTTGTGAAAATCTTTGCTGACGGTAGTAAACCGTTTCTGGTGGTTTCACTCTTTGTTATGTGATATGATAAGTCATGGGAACATTTACTGACATTCATCAAGGTTCTCATTGGGTTGGTCTCTCCTCCAACACACACAGAGAACTGAGTGATGCAAATATAAAACATCAACACTTTTTCCCCCACAGGAGAAAACCTTCAGTGGGATTTTTTTAAATTTCCTTTACTTTCTACTTAAAAGGTGTCATTGTCAACCTGCTAACTTTTTTATTTACATTAGTCGTTTGCTTGGAGGATTTGCATTGTCCTTTCTCTGTGTTTTAATGGACTCAGGTACTGACATGGTCTGTGTTCCCCATTTTACAAGGTGTCTGCTCTCCTGGGACCCACGAAACTCATTCCCATCGGTGACCAGTGTCATCTTTTTTTTTTAAATGGGTAGAAATGGGTTCTCTTCTAGCTGACCCAAGTGTGTGTAAAATGCTAATAACGGGAGTATCAGAAAGTTTCATACACTGTAAAATGGAAGGGTAAATCTGTGAAACAGTGGACATTGTTTTGTAAAGTTGAAGTTACACAGAACTGATTAACGGACAGCTCTGCTTCCGAGCCATGGTATACTTGTGTGCACTACGACAGGTGTCCCAGGAAATTCACGGTGACCTTGCTTGTGGCAGCTTCAAAGTAGAAAGATCTAAAAGTCCAGGAAGTATCAGCCAATAAATCGTGATATATTTATTGTTGTTGTCGTCAGGTGGTGTCAAGTTGACTGCCTCTCACAGCAAACCTAGGAATAACGGATCTGACCCTTGCTGTGTTCTGCGCTCTCCTCATACTCTCTGAGATGCTCAAGCCCGTTGCTACAGTGGCTTGTCAAGCTATTTTGTTGGGGGTCTTCTTCTCTTTCTCTGACCGTCCATCTTTCCCATGCTTGAGAAAAACATGATGTCTTTTTCTAAAGACTGGCCCTTCCTGCCAACATGCCCGAAGTCTGTGGAACAAATCTTCACCATCCTGCCATCCTGGTCGTGCTTCCTACAAGACAGACCTGTTTGTTCTTTTGGAAGACTGTAGGCTACTCGGTGCTCTTTTCCAACACCACAGTCCAAAAGGATTTCCTCTTCTCCTGTGAGCCTCATTCATTGCCAACTTCAGGCACATACCAAGCAATGGAAGATACCATGACTTGGGTGAGGTGCACCTTGTCCTTCAACTGATATTCTTTTGTTTTTCTTTTTAAATTTTATTTTCTAATTTTTTGTGTGTGTACCATCAAATCAGATCTGACTGGTACAGGAGGAGATTGCCCCTCTTTTTCCAGCACAGCATATGGTGGATTCGAACCACGTACTTCTGGGATTGCAGTGTAGTTTCTTACCACTAGGCCACCAGAGCTCTCTTTAAACTGATATTCTTTAACACTTCGGGAAGGTCCTTGACAGCGGAGTTGCCCAAAATAGCGTATCTTTTGATTTCTTGACTGCTGTTGATATGAAACCACAAAAATGTTACAAACTACCCAAAGAGAACATTAAGAAGCCCTGGTGGCACCATGATTAAAGTGCTCATTTGTTAACCCAGGGTTCGGTGGTTTGAACCCATCAGGTACTGTGTGAGAGAAATCTGGGGTGGGGTGCCTCCTTAAAGCTTTATTGCCGTGGAAACTTTAGGGGGGAGGTTCTACTCTGCCTGTTGAGTCACTGTCACTTAGAATCAGCTTAGTGTGGTGGGGTTTGGGGTTAGGTAGAACATTATGAGTATGAAAGAAGCAAGTGCAACAAGAGATGCCATGTGACTCTACTTGTAAAGGTAAAAATTATGT